AAAAATTAGCTCTTAGACACATTAATCATCTAGTTAGATTCTCTGCATAAGTTAAAATGTTTTAGTTTACAACGTCCAGATTATAGTTTGGGAATCAAAGTTAAAATAAATATCTAAAACAAAAATAGCTTACACATTAATCTCATAAAATGGCAAAAAGACAGGTCTTATCTAACACATCTAACTTCCTTCCAAGGATGTGACATAAACTAACATCATTCAGGCAGTAGACATTAAAAAAAGGGAAAAAAACACAATTAAGCTGAAAAATAGAAAACAAAATAATTATGCAGGTACATAATTGTCTAGGTAATTTATTCCACCATTTAGTAAGCATGTGGGACATAGAGAGAAAAAGCAAACTTAAGACTGTCTGCTTACCTAGAAGAAGATAAAGAGACTCGGTGAATTTAGGTATTTCGAGAAATCTCTCTACTTCCCTTGAGGTCAAAGATACTCATTTATTAACACCATAGCTGAAAAACATTATCCTTATTGAGACAGCATTTACTTAAAAAACAATTCAATTTGCCATTGTTTTCACCTGGCAGATACAAAAATGTAAATGAACACTTTTGTGAAAAGTCTCTTAAAATAACTGCTATATGATTAGTAACTAATCTCCTCGATAAATCCCAATTTACTATATAACAGATCTAGTTTTAACCTATTCTGAGTTCCATACTCTGATAATTACCTATATGTAAAATATTATCACTGAACTGCAGGGATAATTTACTATTAGAAATAATTACCTTGTGACCCAAGGTCATCAAGCACTTTCGTATATCTTAGTGTAAGGAGGACAATTTATGCAGTAAATATGACAAATGTAGAAATTGTATCATTATTAAGGAATCAACTAAATGTACCTTAGATAATTAAGAAATTATAGTGTGGTACAAAGCTGAATTATAAATCCCTTAATAGTTTTGAATAAATGATCATATCCTAATGGGTAAAATTAGAATATTAAAGATTATTAGAATGTTCATTTGTTTATTATTAAAAACAATTCCATGAAAGTAGATGGAATTCTTAAATGCTACTGAAAAATAAAATTTTAGTTATCACAATTAATTGAACTCTATTACTCTTTCAACAAATATTTATTGATTATTTATTGTATGCATGGTACTATATATGGAATCTAAGTAAAATATAAAAAATCTGATAACAGGATTCCTTTGTTGTGATTGGTGATGAGAAAAATATATGTGGGTGACATTGAGGCATAGAGCAAAAAAGGAATGTAATGTACTGGATGAAGTGGAAAGATTTCGGGGAAGCTACACATAAAACTGGATAGGAGAAAAATATTTTATACCACAAGAAGGGGTTTGTGTTTTACTGCGGGGACAACTGGAGTTATGGGGATCTCAAGTCTGGAGGGTCAGCATAAAAGCAATTTTAGATATATTAATTTAAGGCAGATTGATCAGAAAGGGGGGTGGGCAAGTCTGGCCCCAGGGAGGTATATGGCTTAGAGTATGGCGCTGGCAGTTAGAATGATTGGAAAATGATGACACTTGCCCAATAATATAGTGTAACAATAATAATAAATAAGGAGAAAGGAAACAGAAACTGATACAAATGGAGAAGTCAGGTGGTAAATTCTGTTTTGAAGAGGAAGATGAAAAGGCAATTTTTTGTTACATTTGGTAAGCTTGAGAGGATGCTTATTATGGAATTTTTTTCACCAACAGTCCATGACCACCACCTCTATTTTCTCCACCAACCATCACCTTCACTATCATCAACACCTCAATCACCACCACCACTTCCACCACTGCCTCTACCTCTACCACATCCACATAAGCAAACAAGAACAACAGCTACTGCATTTACTGAATTCTAACTACCTTACAGGCAACTGTATTAAATGCTTCTTACTTAATCCTCAGTGTTCAATAAAGTGAGGATATTGAATCTGAGGCACAGATATTAGGTAATTTGCCTGGGATCATAAGTTAGTAATTAAAACAGGCAGATTTCAAACCTGAGTAATTCTGATTCCAAAGACCATGATTTTTCCAATATTTGCTACTTCTTTAGCCACACAGTCAATGAATTATAATAACTAAAATACGTGTGCAATGTCTGAGTAACTAGGTGTGGGTAATTGGAGGCAACAAATGTTTGCATTTGATGAAAATAAAAACTGAAGCACTGCCTGGATGCAGATCATAGATTTAGAGACATAAAAGTGAAATTTGAGGGAGTCAGATATAGAGCTATGAAATTTGGGAGTCACTCATTTAGAGCCAGACTTGAATCAATGAGAGGAGATAATTCAGATAAAGAAGTCAGAAGGGCAAAAAAGATTTGAATTTATGAGATAGTACCATAGGACTTAGGCAAAAGGAAGAAAGCAAGTCAGATAGAGAGTAGTAGGAGTAGAACCAGTAGTGTGTCAGAGAAGCTGTCAAAAGGGATCATTTTTTAAAAATCAGCACCCAATAGATTGCCAAGACTACAGTCTTGACAGTTGAACACTAGCAGTTCTCACCTGGGACAAGAGAGAATCACTAGCCACCATGATGTTTTCAGTCATGTTTGCATGACGCCTCCAGAACCATTATAGTATTTTAACCAAATTCCATCCTGCAGACAATGATCACTTACTGGATTTAATTGCTCCTGAATGTTTGCTCATTTCCTCTCTTTGTTCAGTCTAAACTTATCAAACTAGAGTCTTGCACAGAGTGTCCATGTTACCCTACTGTCCAAATCAGGATACATCTGAGAGTGAAAGTTGGTGCTTTATATAATTATGCTGGGAAAAAAGGTGTAATTTGGGATGATTCAGGCAAACCAAGACATAAGATCACCTTTGTCATTTATCTACAAAAGAAACATTTTCCTACACAGTCCAGGTTCTGTAGTCAGGTTACCTCAGCTGAAATCCTGGCTCAGGCACTCTGAAGCTGTGTGTAATAGTAATAATAGCCATACCTATTTGGGAGGGTTAGTGGGAAGAATAAATGAGCTATGCAGACAAAGCACTTAATCTAGTGCTGAGTGCATAATAAAATCCTCAGTAAATGTCAGCTTTTATTTAAGTAATATATTCTTTATGTTCCCAATTGAACATCCTTCCAAGCACTTACAAAAACTGCTGAGAGCGTATGATACAAACAGAATTTAGGAGACAAAATATTTCACCACTAGTCACACTTTCTTGAAAACAAAAAAGTACTCAAAACACATTTTTCCTAACCAAATACATTCTCCAAACAGGAGCCAAGAATAAGCTGTTGAAGACAGAGATTGATAGGAATCAAGTTGCTCTGTTAATATCTGTATTAGAAGGGTCCCGAACATATTAGGGGGTAGATCAACTAGGTCTCCATATTGCTCTGCTTGGAAACTTGTTGGAGAGCTGTTAGGTTGTTGCAAAGGATCCATAAATCCATGTGCCCACTAGGCATTGTCCGTAGACATATATTTAACAAGGCATCAAATTAATCGCCATGCTCTTAGGATTAATAAAAAGCAAATTCATTAAGAGCTTTACTGATTTATTTTTGCTGTCACATTCTTTCTCCATCAATGAATGTTAAAATTTCAACCACTATAATGAGTAGAGTTCTTGGAAGTTGCTGCCCCAAATAGAATGCCAATATTCAAAGATTCTGAGAACCATTTGACTGGAACAAGGCTCAGTAAACTTTTCTTGTAAAAGGCCAGATAGTAAATATTTGGGGGTTTGTAGGTCATATAGTCTCTGTGACAACTACCCAACCCTGCCTTTCTGGTGTGAAAGCAACCAAGGATGATGCATAAATGAATGAGTCTGACTTTGTTTTGATAAAACCTTATTTGTGCACACTGACCTTTGAATTTCAGAAATTTTCACATGTCATGAAATATTCTTTTGATTATTTTCAACCACTTAAAAATGTAAAAAACTGTTCTCAGCTCATGAGCCCTAGAAAAACTGGCAGCAGGCTGGATTGAGCCTGCAGGCTTCAGTTTACTGAGCCCTGAATGAGAGGGTTCACTCAGCCAAGGAGCTCCAACCGTGGAGAAAAGCCCCGTGGTCTACGGTAGAATTATGAAAGTAGGTTAAAAGTCACGGATTAACAGGGAAGTACTGAAAGTCCCAAATGATGTACTTGAAAACTTTTCTAGGTGTTTCTTCCTTTGCCTAAAACATCTGACATGCTACTTTTGGGTATATGTTCTTCTCATGCTTCCCTACCCTTGTATATACAAATTCTAATGTCAAATGTTCCATGTGCTCCCAAACACATGCTGCTTAGAAATGTTAAGGCAGGTTTTAATGTTCTTTCTTAATCTTAGAATTATAATAATTGGCATTAAAAGGAAATTGTACCATTTTTATGATTTTCATGCTAGCTTTTGCATTTATGAAATTTTATTCCCATCACTTTAATATATCTACTGATTTACATAATACCTAACTTATCTACAATGTCTAGTTGAGAATATCCACAAAAAGCTCAGTTAAAAATTCTAACACCTTCAAGATAAGACTTTATAAATATCAAAGAACAGGAAATCTGTTCTGTAATTACTCCTGATATAGGACACGCAGATTGAGACATTATGTTCTCGTAAACTAACAGAATGGATCGTGTCTATTATAGGTGTACTTCTTCTTCATGAAAATGTCCTTTCCATTACTGGAAAAAGGCATTTAATGCAAAAGTAGGCACTGAACAAGCAGGCTCTTGATAAGAAAAAAGGAAACTTTCAGGATAAAAGGCATCCATCACTTGTGGTTTCTTCTTTCAATCCAGAAAATAGTATTTCCATTAAGCATTCTGTTTTTGTTGGGATAGGGATTGCTTGGGGGAAATTTTAAAACTTACTTCATAATTTGTCTCACTAACTTAACTGACATTATAGGCACCCAAGGCTTCTGGAAATATTGCTTAGGTAAAAACACTGCCATCAAAATAGCTGTAAATGAGTTTTCCTGCTTAACAATTACTCTTCGTTTGAGGATAAAGCCATGAGCAAAAGCTTCTCACCTTTTCCTAATTTCGGAATCCACAATAATCTGCCTCTTCTTTTGGGGAGGTGGTGGTGGGAGTTCCTCTTGAGCATGCTTTACAAGGATTTGTTCCCTCGTGGTCACCATAGTTACCGTTTCCATTACAGTTGTCTGTGTTAGTGATGGATGAGTGGTGGTGACAGCCTGTGAAATCTGCAAGAAGTATTGAAACAGAGGTCACACACTGCTTGGAAGACTTCAGTAAAGACTGCTTGGAGTGGTGAAGGAAAATGAGAAACTGTTCCTGTTTGTTGGTAAATTGACCTTCAGATCAAAATAGCACCATATTGAACCCAAATCAAATTGCTTTATCTGACTTAAGTTATGTTGACTGAAACCACAAAAGAAAGTAATCTCAAAACCAAAAGTAAACTAGCGCCTCTCCAATTTATTGGTCAAGCTATGGGAAATAAATGGGGTAGAGGAAAACTGAGGGTGTCATTCTGTCATTTAATTAAACATGCTGTTTAAAGTGTTTACAACACTAATGTAAATTTTGCTCAGGTATGCCAGCACTAATTCCATTGCCTGGCACATTGTATATGTTTATTAAATAGTGCACTGAATGCATCTTTGGTTTTCATAAATATATTTATACTCTATAAATTTTTAGACAAAATTCTTTGAACTGTGTAATTAATGAGTTTTTAATCAAATAAGTGATATGCCCTTTAAACGTACAATAAAAGATTAATATAAAATGCCTATTAGTCCAGAAATACATTTAAGCTGAATGTTATTCGAATGTTAAAAAGCACGCTACACTTGTTTGATTTAAATTAGTCAATCTGTTAAAATATTTGAGTATCCAAAGTTAGCATTCAATTCTTCTTGGTTTAGAATCACACTAACTTTGTGTTCAGACTTTACAAAGATTTTTTTTTTTAGACATAGATCATCACTCTTTGAAATGATACGATTTGTGACCCAAGTCGTGAGTGGCCATTCCCTCAGTACACAGGCATTACCAGACAGACAAGTCACAAAACGATGAGACATCCTCTTGCCTTAACCACCAATTCTGTCTCACAGTCCTCCAGTTATTAAGACTAAAAAGTTACCTCTTGTGATGTTAATCATTACTCTTCCAGTAAGCCAAATTTTTCAGAAGATCTATTTCCATGGAGACCAAAACAGGCCTGCTTCGGATCCACTTATACATAATAAAAATACACATAGTCAACGATCTGGTTGGGACCAAGATTAGTTTTACTGATTTTCCTGAATTTGCCAAGAGATAAGAAAGAGGTTTGAGGGAACCTCCCTGCCTCACACATGATGACCAATTCCCTCAATGGGAAGAAAGCAGGGAAGCCTCATGATCTTCTGATTTCAGCTTCCAAACAGGAATTGACATGTAGTAATGAAATCCTTTGTCATGGTGTCTTATGTAAAAATTGCTTTCGACAAATAAATTTTGAAGGTGCTACCCTTTGTGCAAGCCACATCTTTACATATGCCAAGGCCTTAGGGACTTCCATTTAGGTAGCCTAAATAGTTTAAAAAAAAAAACATTAAGAGATACCAAGTTTCTACATGTGTCAAGCACAGGTTTTATCTTCTCTAAGATCTCCATAGATTCATTATTCAGAATGAAGCACTGAGCTTCAAACTATAATTATATAGTCCATTGACAAGTTATGCCAAAATGAAAGCAGAAGGTAACATAGTTTTTAAAAATGCTTAAGATATAACCTCAAACCTAACTGAACTCAACACAAAATGACAATTACATGATAAAATTAATTCTACCTTTAACCAAAAGGAACACAGAGTTTTTAAGTAGGATTCCAAGAGCATTTAATTTTTTCAGAGTAACATTTTTTTTAACCATGGGCAAACTGTTTTTGCATACAATCAGGGCTTGAAGAAAATATTGTTCAGGTGGAAAATTTCTACTTTTATATGTGCAGGCACCAGAATGCAGAGATTCTGAAAATACAAAGCTATTTTTTTGCAGTTATATCTAATGTTATGGAATATTTGTGCTACTGAATATTTGGCTGTGAAATTAATTTTTTAAATGTTATAATATCTTCTAACTGATACTTATTATGAAATTGGATAGCTGTGCCCACGGAAGGTAAAGAGAAATGGCAACATTATATACTATGAAAAGACATTTAAGAATATAGCAAACCTCATAAGAAAGAAAAAATAATATTTTTTAATAAAATAATAGATGTGGATCTGTAATTGTTCTATACTATAATCATCACTATACTGTATTTGAAACTACTACTTCGTTTCCTTTGGGATACAGAAATAAGAAAACATCTGTGCATTGACCCTGTAAATATAGGGTATAATTCATTATATATAACAAATTAATAATTACTTTCAAAACCTACTCCAGAATAAAAAACAATTGGTCATGTACTAAATTTCCCCATCGCTTTTAGTTATTGACTGTAAACACTTAATTATCTGTTAGAATCATTAAAAATATAGACAGGAAGGGATTATGGAGGTCACTGAGTATAACCTCTTCCTTACTACAGGATTCACTACTTCCAGAAGCAGACAACTCCTTCCTGAGTATGGCATCAAATTTTCCCATTGGCAAAGATCTTTACACCTAGTGGAAGGCTGCATTATTATGACTTCATTCATATAAAATTTGTTTTGGGAATTCCCTGGCGGTCCAGCGGTTAGGACTCTGTGCTTCCACTGCAGGGAGCATGGGTTCAATCCCTTGTCTGGGAACTAAGATCCCACAAGCTGTGCTGCGTGGCCTGAATAAATAAATAAATAAAATTTGTTTTGAACCCTGAAACAACAAAGAGTAAGGTGAGTATTGTTTCCACCTGACAGTCTTAAAGGTCTGAAGCTTGATAATCATGACTCTAATAAATCTTATTTCCAAGCTCTATAATACCAGCTACTTGCTAGAACTAGATTTAATCGGGTGCTCCAAAACCTAGATTTTCTGACTTTGGACATCATATTCAATTAAAGCAATCTAAAACTGCATAAGTTATTCAGCAGCTGAATCATAATGTTTCAATTAAATTCTAACATCTATTCAATATGTGTCACTACAGGACACCCAGAAACAAATACAATGGAATCTCTATTTTTAGAGATCTCACAGTATAGTAGTGAAGGTGACAACCACACAAATAATTGTGAGACAAGATGAGTTCCATATGAAAAATACAAGTATGGAAAATAACTGCATGTAAATGTCTTCACGAAAACAAAATAGATTTGTTTTTAAATACTAGCCCCTTGATCTGTCAGTTAACTAGCCAGTAAAAATGGAAAAGAATTATTTGTCTTTAGGTTTGGAAGCTAGTTCCCCTTACAGTGATTAAAAGTGGCGGTCTCTGAGCCAGGCTCCACAGTTCTCAAACAACAGGTCCACAGTTCACATCCTGTAACATTTGAGGCAGACTGGTTACTCTCTCAGAGCTTTGATTTCTTTTCTTCATATGTAAAACAGTAATGATAATACATCTCTCACAAGGGTGTTGTAAACAAGGCCTGCTTCATGGGTGTGCAACTTACGTAGTCACCCAGGTCCCCTCACTCAAAAGGATCTCATTCTTGGTTTCATGCTCTGCTGTCACCCTCTTGAATTTCTTAACAATTTTTGTAAAGAATCCCTGCATATTCATTCTGCACTGAGCCTCGCAAAATATGTACCCTGTCCTGGAAGCAAGAAGTAAATTACATAATGTTTGAACACAATAAGTACTCTCTTGCTACATATTAGTAATAACCACTAAAAAGTCCAGAGAAAATTCAGGAATTTTTCTAAACCGAACCTTCTTTACTTATAAAGTGATATACGTTAATTTCCAAAATTTACATTTTTCCCATTGTGAGAAAACCTGGAAGAGCACTTGCCCAGTATCTTGATAGTTCTAGGGTGAACATCTTCTTGCATTAAGGTTGTATAATTTGGGTAGGTCTAGAAAAAACATACTATTTTCAAACAATGAAAATCTTTCTTACCATTTTCTCTTCCATTTGTTTAAAAATGCACATTTTGAAAAGGAGCTACATGTACATTCAAGTATATTTAAAGAATGTAAAAGAGCATATAACAAAAGGAAACATTTCTTTTCCAGCACTGTGTCCAGTTTCTCATGGGCAACTAGTTATATTTACCACCTGTTCTTATATTTTATTTTTTATTTTATTTTATTTTTTTGCAGTACGCGGTCCTCTCACCGTTGTGGCCTCTCCCGTTGCGGAGCACAGGCTCCAGACGCGCAGGCTCAGCGGCCATGGCTCACGGGCCCAGCTGCTCCGTAGCATGTGGGATCTTCCCGGACCAGGGCACGAACCCGTGTCCCCTGCATCGGCAGACGGACTCTCAACCACTGCGCCACCAGGGAAGCCCTGTTCTTATATTTTAAAGTAACCTTGTGCTGTTATCTTTCTTTCAGTTTGGCCCATATTCTTAACTGCACCACTTAATTATTTAAATAGTCTTGACTTTGTAAGTTTTGATGTTAGAGATTTCTACTGGTATTGTGAGATACTATTTGAACATTTAAAAAAAACTTACTAAAAGAGATTCAAATTATAAAAAAATTAGTTACCTAATTTATCTTATTATAATTATTATTAAAATACTTATACTTGTAATAATAGCTACCAGTCATGGAGCTCTCTGCACATTCCAGGCATTATGCTAGGTGCTTTGCATCCCTTATCTTATTTAAAATACTCAAAATAGTATCTGCAGTAAAAGCTTAATAACTGGTGGCTATCATTACCTAACAATGGCCCTAAGAATAAGTACTAAGTTTATTCCCATTTTATAGATGAGAGGTAAAAATTTCAGGCAGGTTGACAAGTGTGGATTGAAGTTTCTCGTTGTGTTCTTTATACATACAGAACTTTAGAGTGATCACTGATTTTTAATGGGCATAGAGAGGCTGCAGTTCTACAGTTTAAAACATACTGCATAATCATAGCAACAGTTTTAGCTGATAACTGATAGCCAGGCTTAAAACTATCTCCACAGGCATGGTAGCACAAGGCACAAATACCTGATGATGGTGTGAGGATTCACAATTCTAAGCAACAGAAAGGATTTATATGTTGAACTTTATGAGAAACCTGGGGTAAAAGATCAGGTGCTCACAAAGGAAGCTGGGTTATTAATCAAAAGGCTAAAAAATGTTCTATCTCATGAA